AATACGAAAGCGCGCACTCACGCGGCGCACGCAGAGTCCGTAAATCGGAGCCCTCGTAGAAGAGCCAGGTCAAACATCAGTTGCTCAGCTCGGCCACCAGTGTAGTTAAAACCGAGCTCGTCTTAAAGGTGGGTAGCAGGGGAGGCAAAATAAAAGCCTTTTGATTGCGAGGATCTGGCACTTGTCATGTGTTGACTGAACGAATCCGCAACTGTTGAGGTTTTGCTCAACAGAGCGCCAAAATGAGACTGGAGAGTTATGATACCGAATACAGTTTTGGATCCCACAGGCAAGGTTTGCAGACGCAAGGTCTCACATCTGTAAGCAAACCACCCCCCCCCCACCACTGCTGTCATAAGAGGGAGAAGAAATCCATAATTTCGCTCGAGCTGAGGAAGGCTTACAGAAATTGCGTCACTTCGAAGCAGCTGCGTGACTTTCAGCGATGAGTCGCTTTGGTGCGGGTCAGTGGATATTGTTGCTCAGGGTATGAAAGGCATCTATCATTCAAATTTTTGGGCAACATCGCAATGGTCCTCATTTTGTTCTATTTTTTGTTTTTAGAAATAGCAAACTACGCATACCTCTGCATTGGAGGCTCCTTAATGGAATTGGTGTCGATCTTGATCGAATGCCTCTTGGCGACAACTCCACGTCGATCTAGTGTCATACACTGGAATTCAGACGAGAATTACATTCCAAACATTTCCAATTTCAAGGCATAAGACCTGATAATTAGGTACTCAGTTTGAGATAGTAGCAGGAGTGCTATACAGTGGGAATGAAAAAGGAAGCAAAACTGTCAAAACCCTGCAAAAAAAGCCCTCTAAAAGACTCGGAAAGCAGTTTTCTGACGAGTTCCCCGTCGGCATCCTGACAGTAATCGCTACGCTGGTCACGGTTGCATGTCCACAAATATCCATGCACAGGGTACAGCATGGGGATGTGCGAAATGGCGGTGTGAGTACGACCCCCCCCCTCGAAGAGGGTCCAGTTACGACCCCCCCCCCCCTCCTGCTCTAACTGACAACCAGATGCA